AACGATATTTTTAAAATAATTCTTACTTTTTCTAAAAGCGGTTTTAATAAGAGTAAGACTTTAATTAAGGAGCTCGCTAAGGAACTTAACTTTATAAACGTTAATTTTTACGAGGATAAAAAGTTAAAATTTTTAAAGAGGTATATATTAAGCTTATTAAGATAATTAAAAAAACGATAACGATATTACTTAGGTTTAAGGAATACTAAACGATATTTTTAAATAGCTAGAGAATAAAACTAAAAAGCCGAATTCTTTACTTAACGAGTTAATATATTTTAGACTATAACTAATATTATTATTATACCTTTTATAAAGAATAATAAAAACTTAAGCTTAACGTACCTATTACTTATAATAATACCCTAAGGACTCTTAAGGGATTTCTAATTTAGGTTAAGAATTATTAGAACTTTTATTACGGAGACTTTATTAATAAAACTAAGAAGGTTATGTATATTACTAACTTTTTTAAGGAACGAGCTTTTAAATAGTTTAAACTTATTTAGGAAGAGTTCCTTAGTAAAGAAACTCTTAACGAATATTTTATTAAAATACGTAATATTTATTATAACTTTAATAAATTCGAAAAAGCTTTTAAGTCCTTATTTTAGGACCCTAATAAGAAATAATAAACTAAGCACGACCTAGCGTAATTATAATAAACTAAATTAGTAAAAGAATATTTTACTAAATTTAGACGTCTTAGTACTTAACTAGACCTTACTAACGATACTAAGATATTTATATTTTATTAAGAACTAAGAAATAAAGTTAAAAATAAACTAGTTAAGCTTAATAAACTAAATAACTTCCTCTAGTATAGCGAACTTACTATCTAAATCAATAATTAACTTTATTTTATAAATATAAAAAAAAAAATAACTTAATACTAAATATAAATATTAATAGTAATCTTAACGTAGTTTTTAAATAACCTAACGACCTCGTAATAATTAAAATAATAACTAATAAAATACTACTTATAGATAATATAATAGTCTTATAGACCTTAGTATTACTAAAAAAAGATAACTATTTAAAAAAGGACTTTAAGTATTATAACTATAATAAGCTAAGGTATATAACTAGAGACTATTAATAACCTAAGTATATTTAATACTAACTTATCTTAGAAAAACGAGCTAATATTACGAATAAAAATCCTTATAAATAACTTTTGTAAATAGTTTATTATGATAATAACTACCTTATTTACTAAGATAATAAAGAATAAATAAGATAGTATCCTAAACTACCCCTAGGAACTAAGACTCTTACTATAACTAAAAAATAAGATACTACGGATAACCTTAGAAAACGTAATAAGAAGTATATTTAAACCTTATTAATAGCTTACGAAGCTATCCGAGTATAACTTAATAACTAGCCCGGGCGAGCTTAAATACTTATAATAATAAGAAAAAAACTCTAATAGAGGATAATTACTAAGAACGAAAAATCCTTATACTAGCTAAAAAAAAAATCCTAGTATAAGAAGTATAGTTACTAATTAAATCTATTTATATAATAAGATAAGATAACGAAAATAAAAAGTTTATTTATAAAATTAAAAATAACTTAAAAACTTAGAATACGAAAATAAAATCGAAATTATTAAAACCTAATCTTAACTTCGAAATTAAAAATAAAAAGTAAATTTCTAACTTAAAAAAACAAAAAAACGAACTTAAAATCGGCTCTAGTAATTATACTTTTAATAAAAATTACTCTATAATTTAGCTAAACCTCGTAACGTCACTTAACAACGTACTTAAGTAAAAATTAACTATAAATTCTATTTTAGTATAGATAATACTAGCTTTAATAAAAACCCGAAAAACTATAATATAAAAATATTAACTTATATAAAAATAACTAAATAGTATAGTTTTATAGAACTAGCTAACCTAAGGAAATACTTATAATACTACTAGTCTAAGGAAATAGTTCTTTATTTAATATTAAAAACACATTCTATAAAGAACTATTTTAAGTAGAATACTTAATAATAAATACCTTTAATATCTCTTACTTAAAAGGATAGTAAGTTCTATTTACGAAAATATAATAACTAACTTCTTAAGGACGTTTACATTAATAACTAATTACTAAATTAGATACTTACGTATTTTAATAAAATTAATATAGTAACGGACCTAACTTATATTTTCCTATATAATACTAGAATAGCTACTATATAAAATAGGATAAATATAAATATAACTATTATTAAATTTACTACGTTTTTAAATTACGAGCCTAGAGAAAATAAAAATAAGTTAAATAAGAAGAACGACTAAAAATAAACTTTTAAAAAACTAAGGAAACCGATTGTAAAAGAACGATAAAAATAAGAAGTAAAAATAAATTCTTATATATAACTAAATAACGCAACGACGTATACTTATAAATTAAACTTAAAATATATAGATATAAACTATGCGCTATAATTAATAGTAGCGCATAAGGGTTTATATTACTAAGAATAATAAATAAACTTAACCTACTATAGGTATAAAAAATAATCTATACTAACTATAAATAATAAAAGAAAAAGGTTAACTATAATAATAAATATATTAACTAAGAGATAGTATACCTCCCGATATATATTAATAATTACGAAAACTAATTATAATACGATATTACGAAAATTAAAAACCTCGATATTATCCTAAGAATCTCGTAATTAAGAAAGTATAACCTACGGATAGATTAAATTACTAGCTAGGTCCTATAAGAAAATCTAATTACTAAACGACCTAAAAAAAAAAAGGGTTTAAATAGATTTTTAATAACCCTTAAGGAATAAAAATAAATACGATACATAGCTTTTATTAAAATAGTAAAAAGCTATAGGGCGTTTATATACGATAATAATAATCGAGGATCGTAACGACTCTAAACTATACCTAAAGAGTACTATATATACTCAAAACTATTTATAGAACCTAAAAAAATAGGATTATTAGAACATAGTAGCTAGGATATAGAAATCGAACTTAAAAAAAGAATATAACCCGGGTTTTATCTAATATACCTAATAAACTAAAAAGAATAAGAATATTTTAATAAATATATTAATAAGAAACTTAAAAAGATATATTTAACTATCGAATTCTCCGTAGGATTCCCTTTATTTTTATACTAAAGAAAAGAGGAAAATCGAGACCTATTATTAACTATAAGAAACTTAATAAGATTATAAAAAAATTATTATCCTTTACTTTTTATTACTAAGCTTAGAGATTTATTTTACGAAACTAACTAGTTTACTACGATAGATTTTAAAAAATATTTAACTAAATCTAAATTAAAAAAGAGATAAATAAAAATAGTATTCTAAACTCGTAAAGGACTTTTTAAATACCTCGTTATACCCTTCGGACTTATTAATACTCTAATAACTTTTTAAACAATAGTTAACTACGTACTCTAAGAGTTCGTTAAGATTTTTATTATTATTTATATTAATAATATTCTTATCTTCTTTCTTAACCTTAAGATATATAAGAAATATATTTATATAGTATTTTAAAAACTCTAGGATACTAAACTATATACCGACCCTCTAAATATAAGTTTTATATATAAAAAGTAGACTTTTTCAGATATACTATTACGCTAAGATAAATCTATATATAAATATTAAAAATAAAAATAATTAGGGACTAGCCTATACTATAGAACGTTAAAGACGTATAAAGATTCTTAGGATTTATTAATTTTTATTAACGATTCTTTAAAAACTATACTAACGTTATTAGACTTTTTAATAATTTAATACGAAAGGATACCCTATTTATTTAGGATCCTAAGTATAAAAAAGCCTTTGTTAAAGTTAAAAATATAGTTATTTTTAAACTAGTTATTATAATCCCGGACCCTTAGAAACCTTTCGAAGTCGAGACCAATACCTTAAACTTTACTATAAGAGTAGTCCTAGGATAACGAGATAAATAAAAAAAGCTTTATTTATATTATTTTTATTTTAAAATATTTTACGGAGTAGAACTAAATTAGTAAGTCTACGATAAGGAACTAATAGCTATTATTAAAGTATTTCGAGAATAAAGACTATAGTTATCTAAAACTAAGTATAAAATTATAGTTTATATAGATTATAAAAATTTTATAAACTTTACGATAAATAAAAATCTAAATAAGCAATAAGTTAAATAGAACGAGTTTTTATTTAAATATAACTTCTAAATTATATATCAGAAAGGATTAAAAAATAGTAAAGTAAACGCTCTTAACAAAAGACCTAACTACGAAGTTACGGTCCCTAAAAAAATATAAATTATTTTTAAATAAAAAAAGGATAGTAACTTTATACTAACTACGAAGCTTTTTATAATAGCTAAAAAGATTAATACTAACCCAATTAAAAAAATAACCCCTAAGCTTATTATAAAAATTTATAATATACCTATATACGGTTACTAAAGAGTTATTAAAATATAAAAATAGATTCGCTAGTATTATAATAAATCCGCTACACGCACAGAAATTATAAAAATAATTAAGGACTACGTAACTTATAAAAAAAATAAGAATAGTGTTACGACCCAACACGCATGACAAGGCCAGGGCCTGCCCCACAGGACCTACGGCGGCTACCACACCATATATGCGGGAACACGAACTCAGGGCGACTCCTCTCGGGACGGAAGAACTATGGGACAAGTCACGTGACGATAAGAGATAAGGAACTCCGTACGTTCGAGATACGGGGTCCGTCCTTTCACGATACGGAACCCGTATGTTCAGAACACGGGAACCGTTGGGTAAACATACGGACAAAGAATATGTTCAGGAACGAGACTTGTATATAGTGTGGACTTGAGCCGGGCACAAGGACAGACTTCCATAGCTTCTTCAGCAATCAACTTAGTATCAGATCTTACGATCGCTTTCAGCTATCTTCACTGAGAACCCCTTCTGACAAGACTACGATTGATCACCGAAGCCTTACCCACCTTACGATTTACAGACATAGCTTCAGGGAAGCTATCCACGACTACGACACTGTTTACTTAGTTATCGCAGCCTCAACTTCTGCTAACATACTCACTACGACTAGCTGGCCGTAACACTTTGATTGCTCCTGTTCAGTAAGTTCACTCTACGAAAAACTAACTAAACAGTACGAACGATGTCGTCCCGCGCCTCAGCCAAATCTCCTACCCCGGGCTCTTCAGCCTCTTCCAAACAACCTGTTCGAAGCCTGGCCGAGGAAATGGAGACAGCTCCTATGAACGTCGACTCCGACGATGAGGTCACCCTCAAAAAAGAGACCTACGATCGACTCCGCGAGAGAGTCAAGAAAGGAGACGCAGACATCGCCAAGGTACAGACCATGTACAACGAAACCGCGAATGAGCTCCAAAACCTCAAGATCATGATCCAGCAGTTCGGGAATGGCCCTCAGCGCATTCAGGACCTGGAGAACGAAGTCATCCGACTCAGAGAACAAGAAGCAAGTACCAATGTTCAGGCGCTTCAGGAGAGGTCAACACTCTCGAGCCGCTGCCAACATCATTGGTACCCCATCCAGGGAGGACGACAGAAACTCAAACTCAGCGCACCCATCACCTATGACGGCACCCCAGGTACTCTCAAGGGATTTCTGATTCAAGTCAAAAACTATCAGAACTTCCATCACGGAGACTTCACCAGCGAAACCGAGAAAGTTGTGCACGCCGCCAGCTTCCTCAGGGGACGAGCCCTCAAGTGGTTTGAACCTATCCAGGAAGAATATCTCAGCAAAGAAACTCTTGACGAGTGCTCTACTGAAGTACGCGACATCTACAGTAACTTCAATGGATTCGAAGCTCTCAGGTCCCTATTCCAGGACCCTGACGAGAAACGACAAGCTGAACGCGACCTAGCGCAGCTACGACAAACCAAATCGGCAAAGGAATATTCCGCCGAATTCAGACGTCTCAGTGCCCAACTGGACCTCACTGACGACACCAAAATGTTCATGTTCTACCAAGGACTGAAGGACGAAGTCAAGGACGAGCTGGTCAAGCTCGACAGACCAGAAGACTTCCTTCAGTACGGAGAACTCGCCATCAGAATTGACAACCGACTCTATGAACGCAAGAAGGAAAGGAAGGAACGACCTAACACCGGACGCAAGTACCAATGGCAACCTCAACGCAGTTTCCAGGCGAACCAGCGACCTCGCAACAACTGGAACAACAACCGACAAAGCACTGCCTACGGACAACATGACGGTCCCATGGATCTCAGTGTCGCCAAGAGAGAAGACAACCGCCCCAGGAAGGACTTCAAATGCTACAACTGCGACAAGCCAGGACACATGGCTAGAGACTGCCGACAACCCAAACGCATCCAACACCAACCCGTTCCAGAAAAACGAGCCAATATCGCGAGCAAGGAAATTCCCCACGCACAACTCTCATGGACGGCTTGCTACGACGACAACTGCCTTATTCACCAAGACAGTAAGGAACAAACCGGATGGTACCCTAAAAAACCCAAGAACAACGAACGACCCGGATACGACACCACCCCACCACCTGTCAAGACCCTAGCGGTGGCAACCAAAGAAGAAGAGATACCCATCTACCGACCTCTCACCCTCGAGGATAACAACATCGAATGTGTCGCCATACTCTCTCAAATCTGCCAGAATATAGAAGAGAAGGCCAAGACAGACCCCATCATGAAGGATACCCTTCATCTCCTTGAAGAAAGAATCATGCAAAGACTTCAGGCAAGTACAAGGGAGCAACTCCTCAAATTCGAAGAAAGAGGCCCCGACACAGAAGAAATCATGGGTAATCTCGTCCACATGGCACGACGAAACAACAAGAAACAATCCCTTAGGAAGAAGGGACCCCCATCGGACGACATCCCGACCAAATCCATCTGTGTGATGCGACGAGACGACGGAAACAAAAAATTCATTCGCAAGGTCAAAGAACAACTCAAGAACCTAGAACGCGAAGACAAAATCGAAGTAATCAAGAGGCCCAATCTTGACTTCGAAATCAAGAATGGAAAGGTAGACTTTCGACTCAAGAAGGACGAACTTGAGATCGGCTCCAGCAGCCACACCTTCGACGAAGAATCACCTATGATTCGGACGAACCTCGCGACGTCGCTCGACGACGTGCTCAGACGGAGATCGACCATGGATTCTATCCTAGTGTGGACGACACCAGCTCTGATGAGGAACCCGAAGAACCACGGTGTAAGAACATTGATCCGTACGAAGACGACCAGACAGTACAGTTCCACGGAACTAGTCAACCTAAGGAAGTACCTATGACACCACTAGTCAAAGGAGATAGCTCCTTGCTCAACACCAAGGACGCATTCCACGAAGAATTATTTTGGGCAGAATGCCTCGACGATAAGTGTCTCTGGCATCTCTCACCCAAGAAAGAAAGTCGCTTCTACCCCCGAAGACGCGACGACCGACCTATCAAGGACGTCTACGTCGACGACCAACTACCGAACTGGACGCTCACATACTTCAATGGACTCGACAAGGCAACATTCGAACCAGACCCATGCTTTCCTATGCGATGCCAGAACAGCAACGACATGGAATGGGACGAATGTAGACACGACCATTGTCAGATCCACTACGTTCCCAAATCCCAAGCCTGGAGGAACGAGAGAACAAATTGAACAAGAAGCACGACTGAGAAACAGACTGTCAAAAACTAGGAAGGCCAATCGCAAAGGAACGACGAAAGGCGAAAATCGAAGACAAGTTCCTATGTGCAACCAGACAGTGCAACGACGCACACCTATGGGTCAAACTCGAAATACACGGACACAGACTGCGCGCTATAATCGACAGCGGCGCACAAGGAAGTTTCATATCACCAAGAGTAATGAACAAACTCGACCTACCATGGGTATGGAAGGACAATCCATACAAACTACAAACGGTAGAAGGAGAAAGAGTTGACTATGATGACGGATATGTCAATCGAGAGACCGTACACCTTTCGACATATATCAACGATCAACAAGAACAACTACAGTACGACATCACGGAGATTGGAGACATCGACGTCATCCTAGGAATCTCGTGGTTACGAAAACACAACCCACGGATAGATTGGACCACTGGCCAGGTCCTATGGGAAAATCCAGTCACTGAACGACCTAAGAAAAAGGGTTCAAACGGATTTCAAGCAACACCTGAAGAACAAGAACAAACACGATACATAGCCTTCATCAGGACGATAGAAGACGACAGGATGTTCGCACGGTACCGACGATCGAGGATCGCAACGACTCCAGACTATACCCGAGGAGTACCGGATATACACGAAACTATTCATGGAACCTGAAGAAACAGGGTTACCAGAACACAGCAGCTGGGATATGGAAATCGAACTCAAAGAAGGAACGCAACCCGGGTTCTATCCAATATACCCTATGAATCAAGAAGAACAAGACTATCTCGACGAGTACATCGACGAGAAGCTCGAAAAGGACATATTCGACCTTCGAAATCCCCGCAGGATTCCCCTTCTTCGTACCAAAGAAAGGAGGAAAATCGAGACCAGTTATCGACTACAGGAAACTCAACGAAATCACGAAGAAGAATTGCTATCCTTTACCCTCATCACTGAGCTCAGAGACCTACTTCACGGAGCCAACTGGTTCACCGCGATAGATCTCAAGGATTCAACCAGATTCGAATCAAGGAAGGAGACGAGTGGAAGACGGCATTTCGGACTCGCAGAGGACTCTTCGAGTACCTCGTCATGCCCTTCGGACTTACCAATGCTCCGGCAACCTTTCAAACGATGGTCAATCACGTACTCCGGGAGTTCGTTGACATCTTTGTTGTTGTCTACATTGATGATGTTCTCATCTTCTCTCCCGACCTCGAAACACACAAGGAGCATGTCCACATGGTATTTCAGAAACTCCAGGATGCCAAACTGTACGCCGAACCCTCCAAGTGCGAGTTTCACGTACAGAAGGTAGACTTCCTCGGATACACCATCACGCCAGGACAAATCCACATGCAAGCATCAAAGGTGGAAGCAGTCAGGACTGGCCTACACCGCAGAACGTCAAGGACGTACAAGGATTCTTGGGATTCGTCAACTTCTATCGACGATTTCTCAAGGACTATGCCAACATCGTCAGACCTCTCAACAACTTGACACGAAAGGATGCCCCATTCATTTGGGATCCCAAGTGCGAAGAAGCATTCACCAGGTCAAAAATATGGTCGTCTCGGAACCAGTTACCAGAATTCCAGACTGGAAGCCCTTTGAAGTCGAGACTGACGCCTCAGACTTCGCCATGGGAGCGGTCTTGGGACAACGAGACGAACAAGGAAAGCTTCACCCATGTTGTTTCTACTCCAAAGCATTTCACGGAGCAGAATTGAATTGGCAAATCCACAAAAGAACTGATGGCCATCATCGAAGCATTTCGAGAATGGAGACCACAGTTATCCGGAACCAAGCATGAAGTCACAGTCTACACAGACCACAAGAATCTCGCGAACTTCACGACAAACAAGAACCTGAACAAACGACAAGTCAGATGGAGCGAGTTCCTATCTGAATACAACTTCCGAATCATTTATCGGAAAGGTTCAGAAAACAGCAGAGCAGACGCTCTCAGCAGAAGACCCGACCACGAAGTCACGGTCCCCGAGGAGACACAGGTTATCCTCAAACAAGAAGAAGACGGTAGCCTTGTACCAACTACGAAGCTTCTTATGATAGCCAGAAGGATCAGTACCAGCCCGACTGGAAGGATGACCCCTGAGCTCATCATGGAAATTCACAGTGCACCTGCACACGGTCAGGAGTTACCAAAACGTGGAAACGGATTCGCCAGCACTACGACAAATCCGCCACACGCGCAGAAATTGCGGAAGCAATTAAGGACTGTGCGACCTGCAAGAAAAGCAAGAACAGCCCGCACAAGCCCTATGGCGAGCTGCAACCATTGCAACCACCAACGGAAGCATGGCAATCAATCTCATGGGACTTTATCGTCAAACTACCAAAGTCCAAAGAACCACTCACGAACGTATGGTACGACAGCATCTTGGTTATAGTCGATCGACTCACCAAGTTCGCCCACTTTATACCTTACAAAGAGGCCAGCAGCGCAGAGGAGTTAGCGTACACGTTCCTCAAAATCGTTGTTGCCAACCACGGTACGCCGAAGGAAATTATCTCTGACAGAGGCTCTCTGTTTACTTCAAAGTTTTGGAGATCCCTGATCTCGCAACTTGGTACAGATCACAAACTGTCAACCTCTTTCCACCCGCAGACCGATGGACAGACAGAAAGAATCAACCAGATTCTCGAGACATACCTCCGTTGTTATGTGAACTACGATCAGAACAACTGGGTAACATTGTTACCAATGGCCCAATTCGCATACAACAGTGCAGTTGGCGAAAGCACAAGAGAATCCCCGTTCTACTTGAACTACGGATATCAGCCAACAGTGTACGGAGAAGCACGACAAGGACCACAAGCTGTTAAAGCAGTGGCCAGCGTGGCAAAACTCAAAGAAATCCAGAAGAAAGCATCTTTGGATCTCGAGCTTGTACGTCAACGCATGAAGAAAAACGCGAATAGATCAAGGATTGGACCAACGGAAGAGGGAGATAGCGCCTACCTTCGCCGCAACATCAAAACAAAACGACCAAGCGACAAACTGGACTACAAAAAGCTCGGACCTTTCGAAATCATTCAGAAAGTCTCAAACGTCAACTACAAGTTGAGACTACCAGACACGATGAAGTGTCATCCAGTCTTTCACATTTCACTTCTCGAACCAGCACCTAAGGGCTCACACACAGAAGATTGCATCATCGTGGAACCCAATGAACCAGAATACGAAGTCGAAAAATCATCGACCATAGAGTCAGGAACGAAACAAAATTCTTAATCAAATGGAAAAACTACGGACACGAGGAAAACACATGGGAACCCGTCACGAACCTCCAGAACTCTCGACAGCTTCTCGAGGATTACCAGAAGACGACACCAACGGCCCCAGGGACGCGAACTCGTCGCCAATCCCGAAAGAAGGCCAGTCGGCATCATTAGAAACGCCAGCAGCCTGGAGATCGCTCGACCCACCGCTCGTGAGCATCCAGCGCAGGAAGAACACCATCCTCTTCTTCCAACTCCTGCATACCACGAGCAAAAGTTTCACATGCCTCTCCTTCACTTTCTTTCGGATCGCCCGGATACGAGCAAGACGGCCCGCTGCCTCAGCAACCTCTGACTGTATCCGAGCCAGTTTTTCATGAAGATCGAGCAAGGCGTCGCTAGCCTGCTCCTCCTTCTCTTCCCATTCTTGACGCTGGTCACTCAGCCGTTGCACTACGAAATAGTCAGCCTAAGAAACCGGAACAACGGCGGAAGCACGAACGACTCGATGCCACAACGAGACCATCGCAAGAACGCTTCAGGTTTTTGCAGCCTTGGCACGTTTTGGCGCCATCAGCCATCCGACATGGACGTTTGGCGCGAAAACACCGAGTGCAGGGCATAACGTCGCTAGAACCAAAACGATCAAACACGTCGTCACAAGCCGACCGAAGTTTCGAGATAGTGTTTTTCAAAGAACGTTTTTCAACACGACCTGACATCGTGTCAGCACATTGCGCTAGAAAGGCAAGCTTGATGATTCCCCAACCTGGGAACAAGGGACCTACTTATAGGCCTAGAGGACTAGACCTTTGAGAGGAGGAGCTGATGTTACGACCCAACACGCATGACAAGGCCAGGGCCTGCCCCACAGGACCTACGGCGGCTACCACCATATATGCGGGAACACGAACTCAGGGCGACTCCTCTCGGGACGGAAGAACTATGGGACAAGTCACGTGACGATAAGAGATAAGGAACTCCGTACGTTCGAGATACGGGGTCCGTCCTTTCACGATACGGAACCCGTATGTTCAGAACACGGGAACCGTTGGGTAAACATACGGACAAAGAATATGTTCAGGAACGAGACTTGTATATAGTGTGACTTGAGCCGGGCAAGGACAGACTTCCGCTTCTTCAGCAATCAACTTAGTATCAGATCTTACGATCGCTTTCAGCTATCTTCACTGAGAACCCCTTCTGACAAGACTACGATTGATCACCGAAGCCTTACCCACCTTACGATTTACAGACATAGCTTCAGGGAAGCTATCCACGACTACGACACTGTTTACTTAGTTATCGCAGCCTCAACTTCTGCTAACATACTCACTACGACTAGCTGGCCGTAACAAATAGCCTATATAAACTTTATAGCGAGCTATAGCTATTATAACTACTTACAGAAGTATAGTAATTAATTTTATAAGACTTTATTATTAAACTACCTAAGTCTAAAGAACTACTTATAGATATAAAATACGATAATATCTTAGTTATAGTTAATCGACTTATTAAGTTCGCTTATTTTATACCCTATAAAAAAGCTAGTAGCGTAAAAGAGTTAGTATATATATTTTTTAAAATCGTTATTACTAACTACGGTATACTTAAGGAAATTATCTCTAATAGAGGCCCTCTATTTATTTTAAAGTTCTAAAGATCCCTAATCTCACAACTTAGTATAGATTATAAACTATTAACTTTTTTCTACCCATAAACTAATAATTAAATAAAAAATTAACTAGATCC